CTTTTATGCTTTTAAACAAAAAAATGCCAGCCTATTTGATAACTGGGATTGGTGGGCAGAGCCCATGGGAACAAAAGGACTGCCTCCTCAGGTGAGAGGGAAGCCAAGCCTGACAGTGAATACACAGCACAGGTACAGGATGGAAGTGTGATAGAATGTACCCATATCCACACCTTATTGTAATAATCTTTGTACAAGGTATGTCTTGTAAGTATCATTTGAAGACCCATAATTTGCTGGTCAATATTGTCCTAATAAAATGTGTGTGGCAACACCATATGTGAAGTTACATCCTACAGGGAAATTGTGTAATTAACACATGTTCCAAATTGTGGTTTGCAAACAGGTCTGTCTCAAACAAAGGAACATGCGCTCCGCTTAATTTGCATTTTAGCAGTAAACAGAGCCATCAAGCAGGAAGGGAGACAAAGGACTGGGAAACAGGTGGGAAAGCCAGCAGGGAATATCCTGACATATAGACACTCTGTCTCCTGAATATCAGCTGGAAATGTTTTCCAAGAGGGGGACTCAATGATAGAAAGAAGGACTAAATGCTCCAAGGGACCCCCTCCTGCTCCCTCTTTCTCTGTCCATCAATTAACTGCACCAGAAGGGAGAAAGGAAGCAGCCACTGAACAGAGGAAGGGGTCCTGACCTAAGTTCTCTGTAAGCTGCACGGCCGCGCAGCAGCTTATTTAGTGATGCACGGGTGCTCAGGGAACCCGCCGCAGCTGGGTGAGGGGCGCCCCTTTGCCAGCCCAAACTCTGCTGCGGCCCGGACCTGCCATGGCACTCAGCCCCAGGTGCGGCCGGAGCGGCCCAGACCCCGACCCAGGCCTGGCCTGGACCAAGGCATGGCCTGATCTGGTGCGGCCTGCACCCAGGTGCAGCTGGGGTGCCCCTCCCCCAGCCTGGACCTGCTGGAGGAGGGGCACCTATCCTGCAGCCCCAGACCTGGCACTTGCCCTTCTAGCACTTAGTTCTTCCTTTCCTCAATGTAATTGTCCTCCATGAACCCGCTCAAACATAGCATCTTTACAGCTGAGTGCTTCAGTGCTGAATCCAGAGATCAGATCCACTGACTGAAATTCCAATACCCTCTGCCCACCCAGCCCCTTCCCCACTTTGTATGACACTTTTTGGCAGCTGAACGAAATGGTGCTGAAAAGGAAGTTAGTCAATGGGATTCAGCCATATAACCTGAAGTGATACAACATGCTACAGCTGAGAAAGACTCTGAGGGCTTGGAAAATGTCTATGATGCTGTATCATGCGTAAACACTTGTAGACATAAACTGTCAATTCTGGAAATAGGTTCAGGAAATACTCCGAGGGCTCCTTGATTATTTCCTTGACCCTGAAACAGAAGAACAACAATTGATTTTTCACTTGGGAAGCCTACCCTGCTAAAAAGTGTCAAAGAATCAGAACAAATGGTCAGGTTTCCCCATTTCTTTCCCTATAGAGTGAAAGCCATTTCAGCAGCTTTCTGAAAACAAGAGAGAATTTCCTAGAAATGATTAATATCCATTATCTCTCTGATCTGACACATTCTGCCTTTTCCATTCTCTCCCACTATCCTATTTCCTAAACCTCATATAGTCCAATCATCAAAGCACCTTAATAGGGCATGTCTTCACTGCAGAGATAACATGGATGACTGGAACCTGGCTTAGCCCCTCTGTGTGTTGCTAGGACTTCTGGAATCATATCCTATGGTTCTTTGTGCTGCAGTAAGCAGAGCTGCAATACGATTCTTCCCCAGTAAGTTGTGGGAGAACTTGTCTGTCCTTCTGGGCCCACGTGGGAGGGTTTGGAGGACTATCAGCACTGCAGTAATTTAGCCTGACTCCTCACCGCAAAGTGGGCAGAGGAGCATGGGCTAAAAGCACCACTGAACTTGGGAAACAAATTTCCTTTGTGGATGGGAGGAGAGGCTAATGGCCCCATGGAACAAGAGCTGTTGATCAATGGGTGACCACAGTGATGATCTGGAAGCAAAAACTAGTTACCAGAAGCATCTTGATCATGTAAACTGCCTTTGGGTGGTGAGCCTGGGGTTAACTAGAGTACCCAGCCTGGCACTTAGTATAGTGACTTTCATAATATGATACACTGTATCCACATAACATTATTCTGTGCAACTACACAGCACTGTGCTGCTGGAGGAGCTATCCTTCATAACCTGGACACGCTTTAGTTTACAACATGCTGGGGTACCAGGAAACGCTCTTTTCCCTACACCCTCCATATTTTTACCCTCCTAGAATGGTAGCATGTCCTTTTGAAGAAGGGATTCCTGTCTTAAACCTACCGGGACTCGCAGCCTTTTGCAGTCAGACAAAGATTCCTAGGGACTCTTCATCCCTAGAGTCTGAAGCAATCACTTACTTTTCTTCCTTCTCGTCAAAGTGCTCGCCCATATTCCTGATGAACTTCAGTAGGTCCGTGACATAGTTTTCATACTGTTTCTTCTTGTTCTTGTTCTGGTTCTTCTTGTTGTTGTTGAAGGGGTTCAACATGCTGTCCAGAACCAATTTGTCAATCTGAAATAAACACTCTGGATTATTCCATCCCATTCACACATCACAAAATACAGCCTCCCCTGGCTGCAGCGGTCTCACTCTGCAGAAATATCATGCACACAAATTTCTCATAGATGGAGCAATATTTTATGGCACTTATATTAAAATGTATGCTTAACAGCATACAACATTTCTATGGTTTTATCTGGTTTGATTCCTATCTGGGTTCGCCAGGGTGTGGACTTGTTAATCTTCTGGACACAACATATCTCTTTCCCAAATGCCCTTTTCTTTGCACAGGTATTTGGGGAAAAGCAGGGCTGAGAGATAAAAGGGCATGATTATTATTATGGCTGTCATCATGATTTAGGGCTAGATCTTCAGGGGTGTCTGAGTTCTACTGGGTGAGAGGGACAAAGGTGGTTTTGTATCACCTTTCCACTCTCATAGTTGTGGCACTATTTGGAAAGGTCCATATGGACTACAATACTGTCCGAGGATCCCCAGAGCTCAGAGTACCCTGGCCATCCTCATTTCCACTCCAGCAATGCTCCCTACCACCTGGGGGCTAGGAACAGGTGTCAGAGCTGACTACATTGTTTTTATGACACCTGGATATTTCTATGTCCAAGAGGAATCCTCGGTTATTCCATTAGGGCAGCCCTCCATCCCGTGTACACCACGGAAGAGTCTGAAGGGGACAGAACTGGGGCAGAGGATCTGGGTGGTACACTGTCCAGCTGTGGTTTTTTACTGTGCTGAAACTGTGAGGCACATGGGGCCTGGGATGGATGCCTATGCTAGTCTTTATATATTAATGTGTTAAATAAGTGAAAGCTCTCTAAAGGCTTGTCTATATTAGAAAGTTTTGCTACTTTAACTATATTAGTATAATTAAAGCAGCAACCTACCCCCTGCTGTGGACAGTTATATCCATAGAAAAGTGCCTTGTATCAGTACGCCTTATTCTGGTTCTGGAAGCAAAATAGGCTGTACCTGTATAAGACACCTTTATTCTGATGTAACTGTGTCCACATTAGGGCTCATACCAGTACAAATACATCAGCTAAAATAACAGCCCTAGCCGACAGTTATTTACCCAGATACAACTTTTAAGTGTAAACCAGGTCTAAGATTCTTCTGTACTGCACTCATTGCCATTGTTGTCAAGCACCTTCCAAGCTCAAATGCTTTTTAACAAGTTCCCTCTTTTTTCCTCCCTTTGCACACCCTCACAGCCGCAGTCCAACACAGGGCAAATTACTCTAACCGCCTTCTCCATTTAAAAAGCTTGTCACAACTTAAGCAGCGAGTCACTAGGGCGATGTCTACAAACCACTCTCTGGAAGCTCCGGGTACACCACTCCAGCAGACAGTGATGGTAGTTTTAAATCTCCTAGATTTGATTAGATTATGCCTCCACGTTGTCTGGATAGGGATGGAGTTACACTTCCAGTTAAGGTTTAAAATGGGGCCTGTAAGTCCTATAAGAAAGCTTTCCCCTTGTGCATCCACAGCAAAACAGCTTACCTGCTCAGTCCACTGCTGCAAAGGGTGCTCATCACAATTCAAAGCTTTCAGAATCTCACTCTCATTGTTGTGATGCTTGGTGTTGCGTGTTTTGATATCGCTCTCATTCCCAACGTCTCTCAGGAACCTGTACCTGCTGTGGAATCAATGGCACATTGGGGATGCTCTGCTGCACTGCACAGAATGGGGCAGCTTGCAAATCTGCTGTTTGAGGGTCTGTAATTTTCATTCATGGTACTTACGTCTGCTTGCTCCAGAAAAAGGGATGTTGGATCAAGTCTCTCAGCAGGTTCTCAACTGGGCTTCCTTCATCAGGGAAGACCAGACTTTTCCTAAGGTCTGCAATCTCCACATAGTCCTGCACATCCTCTGGACAATTTACATCCAAATTGTGTCTATCATTTTCCTCAAAGGGGACCTTACCCACTGTTACAACATACAGGACCAGCCTTCTGAGCGCCTGAGTATGAGAACAAATGGCTGTTTCATTCCAGGGCACACAACCTCCCACCAAAGAGAAACAGAGACAGAGAAACTATCTTCTGAAATCAGCACTCTGAGTGTGTGTATGCATGTGTGTACGTGTATGGCAGCAATCACTTCATGAAGTGTTTGTATTAGAGAGCCCACCACACTGAAAGCGTAGAGCAAAATCAGGAAGTGATTTCCAGGAGTCAGAGAAAATCTTCGTTCCTAATCACTCTCACTTCCTTGTACTGTGGTCTCTTGTGCTATCAGAATTTCCAGAAACCAAGCTGTTATACATTTCCTTTTGAATATGCAGGAAGATCAGCTGATTT